TTGCAGTTCTCTGGCAATTAATCGCAGGGAAATTGTCTGAAAAACGTGAGTGGTATTACAATATTACAGAGCCTACGGGGGCCCCTTGATCGATAAACGTAATGCGAGTCATAAAGCTCTTTGGGGAGGAAGGCCGCTTACCGTAGCAGCCATAAAACGTCTAAAGGTAGACACAGTTATGCCTTCAAATAAATTATGAACTCGGCCATTCGGCAGGGTCTCAGCCTCCGCAGAGAGATAAAAGTTTACTCTGGTCTTGTGGCCAGGCCAGGGAAAAGGTTTTAATCAAAGTAAATGAATTTAAACGAAGCGACGAACAGAGTCCAGCGGCTATTTACATAGAGCCGTCGCACTGAAATGGTTTTTAAGTGAAAAAAGGGATGCGAATGGCACAGGGAAAGGGATTTTGAATGGAAATGGAAAAGGAAAAAAGGGGAATTGCGTTGGCTGAGAATAGAAAAGCATCAGAGGAGACAGAGAAGAGCCAGAGCGTTTTGCCGGGGCTCTGGAGTTGGTTTTCTTTATTTTATTTGCGCGAGGATTTGTCTAGCTGGAGAGGATAAGCGCCCTGTGTGTATCCCTTATCCCTTTGTGTTTGCATGAATTTAATGCAATCCAAATATTTGTGGGCGAGAGTGAGAGTGAGAGTGGGTTTTCCCTTTGGCTCTTTTCTGCTGTGTAAATGGCTTTTTATGGGCTTACTGCCGGATGCCTTTTGTGGGGAGTTTTTTAAAGCCTCGTTTCATAACCATTCAAACGGCATTTTCCATGCAAATGTACATTCACTCGTATATATTTATTTATGAAAGGAAGAACGAAAGGAAGTAAACTCTAAGAGCATAAACTCCTTTGATGGGTTAACTCTCTTACGAATATTCTTATGAATATATTCACTCATCGTTACGAGCATTAATCTACAAGTCATAATTCGGTTTGCTGGCCAGAGGAATCGTTCTATACTTGGCACTTGAGCGCTCCTATGATTAATCTTATGAGTATCTCACTCCATTATGATTAATCACTTGCCATTATCTATGTACGTATGCATATAAAGTCCCTCTTCTGTTTGATGTTTTTGGCTTAAATAAACATTTGGCTTTCATGATAATGAACTTTCGTTCTGTTTTTTTTTTTCTGTGTAAAATGTATCTGCCTTTTTAGGGCACATGGCATAAATCTGTGGAGCCATTGTGTGGGCGCTGCGAATCAATCAGTGGAGAGCATTAACATTATTTTCTTTCATAATTTTGCTAGAAATAATGTGCCAAAATCTATTTTCTGCCGAATTTAAACATTTGTTTTGAGTTATATTTGGAACAGAACCTTACAGACGGACGAGTCGCACGCCTTGGGCCAGCGCACATTCATCATAGCATTCGCAGAAATGTAGCGCAATCTGGCGCAAAACTTTCGATTTGTTTACCCCAACTTGACATAGATCATGCTCGTAATCGAGAATAGACATATGGTCGATTGGGGTGTGGATTCTCTGAAAGGTTTTCCCAGTTTTCCCTAGCAAGAACTGTCCTTCCACATTCCGAGTGTATCCATAAATATATATATATTTTATTGTCGTGCGTTATTTGTCGCCATTTTGGCCAGTGTGTGGGCGGCGTGGCACGGTAGGCGTGGCTGCTATCTCATGCACATTTTGTCACTGTCAACCGGCGATGCCATCACCCACGTCTCTCTCTCTCTCTCGCTCGCTCGTTGGATGACTCTCTCACTCTCATCTGTCATTTTGCATTTAAATTGTTGTTGTCACTGTAATAAAATTCGCAAATCTAGGTCCATATCTACGCATTTGTTATCCTTGAGCTGCATTTGGCGTTGAATACCGAAACAACAGCGCGAAATGTTGCACTAAAAATTGAAATTTTTGTTGTTTGTTATACACAAACAATTCCACGAAATAAGTGCTCGACAAATTGCGGCTTGTTGTCATTCATTTTGGGCCATAAATTTGATAGAGTAGAGGCTACCACTGAATGTACAATATACATACATAAATATGCCCAAATGCGAATGAAAAGCAATGACAACTTAGAGATGGAGGAAGACACAAACTGCTCCCATCTGCAGCATTGACAAAGGGCCTGGCCTGGCCTGGCCTGCTGCACTCGATTGCTGGCTTAAATTTAGAAAATGTTCCAACTAAAAATACGGCAAACCGCAACCGTTTACTGTGTCGAGGCTGTTGGCAACAGAATTCTGTCCGACTCTGCTATATTTAAATGCGACTCTCGCATTAAATGCTGGCGATTTTCCGCAGAGTGAGACGGGTAAAGCTTTGCTCGCAAACTTTTGTGTGGCAGCTAATTTGTTTAATTTAAAGTTTGGCGGAGGGTGGCAGAGGGGGGGCATGGTCACTCCATTTGTAGGGCTCTCGGCCAGCAGCCCACTCGAAGTCCTTTGTAGCTTTTGTTTGACTTGGGCCTTTGTTTGGGGGCAATCAACAGTAATACAAATACTCACATTTTTCCTTTCTCTGTCTCTCTCGTTGCAGTTTGTGGGCTGGGAGGAGGTGCCGCGACCGAATACACGCGCCGAGATTGTTCAGGCCATGCGCCGCATAAGGGTAAGTACATACATGTACACACTTGGCGGAATCTATCAAGCATTCGCCATGTGGGCCGCAAATGAATTTTCGGTATCCCGGAATCCCTGAAAAGAAATGCCAAAAAGTTATACAGCTATTTAGCCCGGATCTTTGTGTTCAGAACAGGAGGGGAGGAGGAAGCATGTGTGTAAATATATCCTTTAGGGCAATTAAAAAAACTTTGTGACAGGCTTGAAGCGGTTTTAAATTTTCACTGCTCCCAAAAAAGCAGGCAACACTTTCCCAAGCGTCACATGCTTTGATTACAGTTACACACACACACGCACACACACGCCAAAGAAAAATTGGAAAATGGAAAGAGGATAAGGAAATTCAGACAAGAAAAAAGTGCCATTCTAGCAGCATAAAACGTAACGAGGCTTGTTCAGCCTTTCCTTGCCTTACCCTGCTCCCTTCTGCTGGCGAGTCGTGCGTGTCGTGCTTTAAACCGTCTTGGCCTGGTTGTGCTTAACACATGTTCGTGCGTATGTGTGTGTGTGTGTGTGTGTATATTAGCCCTGTCTGCTAGCCATCAGGGAGACGGGGTAAATTTGGATCTTGTTATTGTCATGTCTTTGCCATTAGCTCAGCCGTCAGAGGCAGTCAAATGTTAATTGAAAATTCTGGAATCACGCGGCCCACTTTGACTCCGACATGCACTCTATATAGCTATTTATCTCACTCTCTCTATCTCTCTCTCTCTCTCGGAACAGTACGAGTGCAAAGTGCAGAATCTGAAGAAGCGAAAGGTCACCATACACATATCGGTAAATGGCGTACGCGTTGTGCTCAAGAAGCGCCGTCGAAAAGTAAGTCAATGTCATATACATAAAATATTCCAACGAAGGATTTTGTCTGATGGGTAAATTCTATTTAGAAAAAAAACTGGACCAATGACCCCGAGGAAATCGAGTTGCTCAATCATCCCATATACCGCATATTCTATGTGTCCCACGACAGCAGCGATCTCAAGATATTCAGCTATATAGCGCGCGACGCCAGCACGGATACGTTCAAGTGTTCCGTCTTCAAAAGTCACAAAAAGGTGAGATACGATATGGATTTTATATACAATACATTATTATTATGTTTACCTGATCATGTACAAATGTGAAATTAGTTTCCATTTTCTGTTTCTGTTTCTGTTTTGGGGTTTTACGAGTAAGTACGAGCACAGAACTGTTTATGGCAGGGGCTGGCTGGCTGGCTGGCTGGCTACTTGTACATGTGACTTACTTGACATTACCCATTCCTGCCTCTCAGCAACCAGCCCTCCCCCCACGGCTGTGTATGGTGTCTATAAATAAGAATTTTGGTCTTGTGCATGCATAATTTTGGCTTGTATCCAGCATTGGAAAACCGAAACGAAAACAACTAGCAAATAAACAAGATATATCCCCACGATCTGTACAGGAGAGTGCAGTCATTAGATTTAGATGCGCTATAAAAGCGATCTATTTGATGGAATCTCCAAAGACTGGGCGAGCCTCAACGAGTGTGAAATAAACAAAACAAAAAAAAGAAGAAAAATCCCATTCAAGTGTACGTAATATTTAAAGTGGTTAGAAGTGGCGGTTTATCATAATTAAATTTTCACGTTTATTTCTATAATAAATTAAAGATTTGCCCACCCAATTAATCTCTTGATTCGCAATAGTTTTTTGGCTTATGATCTTTGTCGAACTTATTATATTTGTTTATTGTAGAGCTTCCGTTTTCAATCGCATAACGATGCTAAATTTGTGTATTTATCAGAAATTAAACATTTGGGCAAGGCTTTCCAGCAGCGACTCTTTCGCCAGTTGATAGCCATTCGTTTTGGCTACTTTAGTGGCTGTGTTGGATGATTCCATAATCATTTTTCATTGTCAATTCAGGCGAGAGACTCGCCGGATTTTTCATTGGCCATTAGTGAGTTGAACATTGGGGGTCTGCTGCTGCAAAACTGAGCAAAAAGTAAGGCGCAGCTGTCCATCAGTCAGACCGCAAGGCGTTCGCTTCCATTTCCGTATTGTACGAGTCTCGGGTCCGTGCAATCCACAGATCGCTCTCGGATTCTAACGATGCGACAACACGGTCATATCTCAGAATGGAATGGGGATTGCTCTCCATTAAGTTATTGCTGGGATTTGGCGAATAAATAAATCAGCTTTTACTTTGTAGTCGTCGCCTGTGGGGAAATGCATTCGCTTTGATTTCGAACCGACTGCGGTTTTTGATTAATTTCCCGTCAAATGTTCCAAATATTCCAAATTAATAAGCAAAAGCAGCAGCTAGAGAAGATATTTCTGGGTATGCCGAAAATATTTCGCTGGCCTTCAACTTCAATTCGTAGACAATGTCAAGTTGGCATTTCTATTTTTTGTTTTCTAATTAACAAGCCGAAATTCTGGGAACGAATTCCAATTCCATCCATCAGAAGACACCATCAGGCCAGGGCCTGACATGGCTGTGTTTTGTGGGCCTGTCGAAATGCCTGACAAGTGACACACGAAATTAAGGCCAGGACAGGGGCCCATACACATAGATATAGACGGGGCTGATGGAGCTACAGCTTGGGCCTGGAGGGGGGTACGGGCGTACACGCCGCATGCACGTGTGGAAAATTGCGCATACGCCGCGTGCGTCAGAGCAAAGCTCCACAGCGACGCTGCACCTGAGGAGGGACTTCCACCTCGCTACCAACACCAACAACAGGCGGGCTAATATGGAAATGCAACGCAATTTGGAGAGCCGAAACGTACTATGTATTGTGTGAACATTAACACGCCAGACAGCGGACAGCAGACAGCGGACAGCAGACAATGCGCTGAGAAGTGTATGATTTATGGCTAAGCAAGAGCAAAGGCAGCGGCTTTACACATCAGAGTACTTCCGCGAAACACAAAGCAATGACGTCACAATGCAGCAGCAACAGCAGCAGCAGCAGAAGCAGTAGTAGTATCTGCAATCACGCATACGCCGCAGCGGCCGCAGCGGGTTCTCCTTTTTTACACTGCTGTTCTGGCTGTTGCTCTTGATGTTTGTGGAACGATGAACCAAAACAAACGCAGCGTGAAACTGGCCGAAATGCAAAGAGCAGACGATCGTGTAAACAGCTGAGCAGCCGAAAAGCTCTCTGGCCTGTGGCTCGGTGTCTCTCTGGCCAAATGAAAGCTCTCCTCCCCATTTAGCCGGCTGCAAGGCAATCGATCGATGGGCCGCCGATCGCCTCTCCCAGTCGGTTCTTTGTCCAGTGCGTTCTAGACGGCGCGCCTTTGCAGACGTCGTGCAGCGTGATTGGAAAAGCGTTCGGGAAAAATCCAATAACTAAAAATTATGCAATGAGTGCGTGTCGGCGTGAAAAGTGAAACAATCCTGATCATAGGTGGTGTGTGAATAATAATACGAATAAATGCGCAAAAACTGTGCCAAAACTAAAATCATATTTCTGCCAACTGCACAAAATAAGCCGAAAAAGTGTCACAGGCGACAAAAAGCGATAAACCGCGAAATAGAGAAAAAAATTCAGGCAATGGCATGTCAAAGTGTTAGGGAAAATATTTTACCAGTCCCATCTATCAACATCGCAAACGAGGCGAGAAATTAAATGTTTCAAAATGTTGTGGAAAAAACAACACAGTCCCCACAGTCACAAAAAAAAAGTGTTTTGTCATTGGATTTTTTGGGGGCTGCTGACGCCATTAAATGCCCGTAGCATCAGAGCTGAAATATTCATAATAATACAATAGCAATTTTTAGATATTCTTAAACAATGCCCAGCCCCAGTCAGTGCTAGGAATTGAATAATGAGCCACAGGAGCGGAACAAACCGGTGACTAGAAAATTAATTGCCAGAGAAAAGCCCAAACACAAGCCACTCCAAATCAAAACAAATGCAGACACTAATGGGGGAATTTTGGATAGCCAAAGAAGAGGTAGATGCGTGTTAGAGGTAGATGCCTCCCTAAAAAGTACAATCGACTGAATGGTAGGCCAAATATATACACAGATCTGTCTTGGCTCCATGACGCACTTGTTCCCGCATACTCCAACATTGTTTATGCATATTAGTTGATTGGATCTCATTTAATGAGCCCTTGGCTAGCCACAGGTAGCCCAGGAAATTGCGTGGGCTCATCCAAATAAATAGAATTATGAGCAGCACAAAACACGTGATATTAAGACTGAAATATTTATGATTTTCCTCAACCTATTTATTTAGAAATTAAATTAAACAAAACAAAAGGCAATGCCAAGTAAAATTTTGACAGACACTACAAATATTTTGATGAACTGGTCGTTTGAAAGTTGTGCAATTTATGGCGGATAGTTGAGGGGAAATGGTTCGTGGAAATATTCTAGTTTACCTGTTGTTTGCTCCCCACCAGCACATTTTCTTTTTCCACCGTATTCTTTAGACTTTCCCAAAAATGGCCACCACAATTGGCATCCGTTTCGCTTTGTTGCGCTTTGTTTTGTTTTATTTTCCTCTCGTGTTCCCCCTTTCGTTCAGTTTTTCATTATATATATATATTTTTTTTTTTTGTTCTTTTTGCATTTCAAGCCAAAATAGATCCATTATTTTAATAGCCTGCTCTAAAGTATTTCTGAAATCGAACAACCCAAAATGAGGCATTCAGGTGTGTTTTTCCCAGCCAGAGGAGTCCATCAACAACCCCAGAATATATACTCGGGTATTCTTTGATTTTTGCTTATTCTACTCTTGCTTTGTGCAAATTTAATTTTTATGTGCCGCCTCCTGCATGACTAATGAGAACTTCATTAGTAGCCAGCTTCCCCCATATACATAGAAAGAGAGAGAGAGAGAGAGAGAGAGAGTCGTAGAGACAGCGGAAACCACGTGACAATATGCAGAATTTATGAGCTGCAACCAGCCACAAGGGAACTGCAGCTGCGGATGTGGCTTCTGTGGCTGCCACCGACTGCTGCAAATGTCCTCTGACCATCAACGACTTATAGCCTCAGTAAACATTTTCCAGATAGCAAAAACGAGAGAGAGAGAGAGAGAGAGCTAGAGAGCTAGAAGGGAAAGGAGAGCACACAAAGAGAACCAACAGCTGGAACGGTTTACCCAAAAGATTTTGATGTAAAAAATTTTCCCTTATGACAGACATTTGGGTATGGGGGCCAGAAGCAAACAAACTGCCAGATTTGATTGCCAAGCAGCGTAAAATGGGAATTAAAATTCGAATAAATACATAAAGCAAAGCTAACAAAGTCATTTTTTAACGCCATAAATTTGCAAGTAGTTTTCCACGAAACATTCTTCTTCTTCTTTGCTCCTTTGCTTGTGTATTTGCTGTGTATTTATTTAAGTTTTCATTTGCTGTAACGTTCTCTGTAACAAATTCAAATTGCCACACACTTTATATGCGCTTATTTTTTTTTGTATAGTTCTTTTTGGATTTGATTTATGTGAAATTTCACAAGAGACCCATGGGAGATACATATATGTATGTATATGTATGTGTGTGCACAAGTCCGATAGACAATCAGTTGGCACCTTCTGTAGACGGATTTTGCTTTGGCACACGTGGCATATGAACTGACAGAGAGATACATTCACCGTACAGAGTGAATCTATGAATCTCCCTCGAGACATAGCGACGCCACTTTCGTGGCGGAGAAGATTCACCTTGAAAGAACTGTTAAGCATCCAATAAGTTTGTCTTGAGGAAGAACGTGTTGTAAGCATGATGTTTGCCTCCCCATCTATCTGTGGCTGCCACTTGCGCAACAAGTGCCTGTCACTGCTTGTCAAAATAATTCAAATTGATGGTTCAGACAAGTGCTCAAAGCAGCCCTTCAGGCTGCTTCACATTTGTGGCCACTGAAATGGGAGAGCCCAAATTTCACCTGGCCTTAATTGGTAATTGGAAATGTGTACAATCGTTTGTGGGAATAGCTTGAATTACTCATGTTTTCGGTACTGCAATTACTCATCTCTAGCAGCGACCTTCGGTCTGTTCTGCCAGTCAGACTGCAGCTACGTTTACACGTATCTGATGCACATCATGCTGATGCCTGACATGAGTCTTTGTCTGATGGTTAACTTAAACAAACAACAATCCAGAGATTGACAGTTTTTCTTTTTGGGTTTTCGCTCGCGCATGTTGCAGGCGGCAGGAAATATACGAGTATACAACGAAAAATACACCAGAAATAATGTTCCATCGTATCTTCCATCGCTTTATGGGCAGCATGAAATGGTGCAAATAATTCAATAATACACAAATAAATGAACGCGCAAAAGAACTCAAAATAGGAACAGAAACAATAATCGAAACAGCACAAGCTGAGCAGCATAAACAAATTTGCCACCTAGAAGGTGCGAAAAAAAAATGGCGCATCAGCAATGTGTGAACAACCTGGACCAAGGAAGCGAACCCATTTGACCACAGAGCAGAGCCCTAAGCAATTATGAAATTAATAGCCAGCGAATTGGTCGAAGGCAAGAGAAACAGCAACATCAACAGCAACAGCACTTGAACAGCATTGAACTTTTCGTGAAAGTTGAATAGAACATAGAAAGGCGACAGATTTGTTTTTTGGCAACCTCTGCGAATCATTTTCGCGGATCGTTGTACGCTGCGCGGCCATGAAGCAGGAGAAAACACTGCAGACCATGGCCACAACACCGCATGGCAAGCAGCAGCAGCGCCACCAGCAGCTCTTGGAGCGCTCCTCGTCCACGCCCCGCAGTCCCATTACCAAGGCCTTCGACTTTCTGCCGTGGGCGCGCAGTCGCAGCAAGGTGAACACGGCCAAGGCCCAGTCGCCACAGCCCGAACAGCAGGCGGAAAAGCCCACGGAGGTGCACTATCATCGCAACATTTTCCGGAGCGGCGGCGGACTCATCCGCGACATTCTCGTGGGCGACAAGCAGCTGAATCTCAAGGATAACAATGCCAGCAAGCCGCCCCAGTCCCCGCTGCCGGCAAACAAGCGGAAGCAGAAGCAACTGTCGCGCAACAAGAGCCTGGACATCCGGGAGCTTATCGGCTGCGTGGACAGCGAACTGGCACCCAGGTCGTCGACTGGCGGGGGACAGGCACAGGCAGGACAGCCGACTCGCTTCCTGGACGACACCTACATCGACCACAAGCCCAAGCATATTCTCTTCAATGACAACGAGAATACCGTGTACATCATCAAGAAGGAGCAGCCGGTGGCCCAGAGCACACACAAACCCCAGGCAGCCGCCGCCGCCTCCGTGTCCAATGGCGATGTCCTGAAGGCCCGCCTCAAGTTCAAGCGCCTGCCCAGTGACCGGTATGAGACGGCCTCGCCGGAGGCTCTGCGTCGTGCCCACCAGCTGCACCAGCGCTCCGAGCAGCGCCACCAGCTGCAGCGCCGCAAGAGCCTCAGTGACCAGCAGAGCAACTCCAGCCACAGCAGCGGCGGTGGCGGTGGCGGTGGCGGCGGCGGGAGAGCGGGCGATGGCTTTGGCATCGGCAGCGGCAGCGGCAGCATTATGCTGGAGCGACCCAAGACGGACAAGCCGCGCAAGAAGCTGTCGTTCCGGGAGCCCATTGTGGCCGGAGACCAGGTCAAGCCGCTGCTAGTGGCCGAGCAGCGGCAGGCGAGGCAGCGACGACGCAGCTCGCCCCTGGAGCGCACCCGAGGGGTATTGGCTGGAGCAGGCGGAAGCGACTGTGATAATTTATGCAATAATCGCACAAAGGATGCAATATCCTGCGGCTGTGCGGCAAGCGATCCCGAGGTGGGTTCAATGCGTCCACGGGGCGCACGTGTAATTTGCTTTTGCGCTGAGTGGCATGCACCACATGTGGCCTCGCCTCCTTGGGTGCCTTAATTGCTGTCAATATACATATACTTTAAGGGGAGGAATTGGGCGGTGCTTGATGGATTAATGCAATTATATTAATCTCTCTCCTCCTCTGTCGTTGCAGTCTCAGGCCATGCGCATCGTTCGCACCGTCGGACAAGCCTTTGAAGTGTGCCACAAATTTAATCTTCATAAGAATTCCCTGGAACCTAATGACGAGCGCTCCGACATCTCGTCGTCGGAGCTACTCGATGTGGAGCAAATCAGCGAACAGCAGCTGAGCGACGATGGGGAACGAGGCGGTGGCGGCGACAACGAGACGCCAAGGAAAGGTAAGAAAAATGGGTATCGAAAATGGAAATGGAAATTGGACGGGGGGAAAGGAGATAGGAGACTATGACTACGGCGTGTCTGGCTCTGCCAGTGGGTCGTTGCCTGGCCAATAAATAAATGAAAAGCTCTCGACTGTCGGATGACAACGTCCGTCGTCTGCTTCCTGGGTCCATGGACACACTCGTACACACAAACACACCCAAACACACACACAAAGACAGTCTGGACGCCGGGCGCATTAGTTTCCTATTCATTTTTGCACTCCAATGCAAATTTCTGCGCTTTAATTTCGCATTCAGTTCCGTGCTAAGGGCAGCGGCGGCATTTGCATTTAAATTGCATTTTTCGGCCCACAGCGCACAGGATGGGCTGTGGTTCGAGGGGGGTAACTGCACGGAAAAAAGGCTTTAAAAATTAACAACAATTAAAAATGAAAACGGGCAATCGGCCATCGCGCATCGGGAAATAAAACAATTAAAAATTGTATTTCTGGTATTCATTTGCCTGCCTGTTGCCAAAAAATTAACGCAAATTAAGCGCTGACACACACCGAAGTTCACTATACACTAATTAAACCAGAACTTAAGTTGATTAACTGACAGTTTATTATTCCAATGAATAGTTTACTTTACATACCGATTCGTAGTGGCTCTGCCGTAGATACACAAAATGCAATATAAATCCATGGGGAATAAGAGTGAACGAGGGCAGAGCAGACTGCAGCAGCAGTGCACAATGCCCTCCCCCCCCCCTGCAAAGGAAAAGTAAAGAAAATATATAATATGAAAGATGACTGCGCATATAAGTAGAAGCAAAATATACAAAAAGAAAAGAGAGAGAGGGAGAGAGAGAGAGTAGAAAAATAAAGTAAAGCAATGAAAAGTCTTGAGGCAAAGATGAGAGCGCTTTCGACATACACTTCAGCGCCGTTAAGCAATTTCCACATATTGCTTCAATTTTCAATAATCTTCGTGCGGCTTTCTGCCGTTTGCCCCGTCCCATCAGTTTCCCCCCCCCCCGCCACTCCGCCCACTTACGCACACTTACACAGACAAGGCGCAGTTTGACGTCATCAACGCGTAGCGACTGCCAAAAAAAGAACAACAAAAAAAAGAAACATCAGACAGCAGAAAATATTAAAACCTCACTAAGAATACAATTCGTTTTACCATCTTTTGTCTAAAACCATCGGACGACATCATTCGCCAGAAATTCTGAGAAAAATGTATACATAAAAAAAATAAAACAAAAAATAAATAATATCTGGGTGTAGGAGCCAGTTTGGAGATGGATTACTACTTGTATTTGCAGATACTTGCATCATAGTCATGCCATCAGAGAGGGGTGGAACTCCGCGAAATTTGTTGTCAGGAGACACACACACACACATTGTAGGCGGCAACACGTGGTGCGTGTGGGCGTGCCACCCCACGGAGTCGTGTGCCAAAAATTATTTATTAATATCAATAAATACATAGTTCCACCACTTGTAATTTTTGGAGGGTGCCAACCAAGCGACGCGACGCGACGCGACTCGACACCGAAATAATGAATTATGTCAGCTTTTGTCCGTCTATATGTCTGGCAGATCTGTGTGTGTGTGTTTGGTTGGATTAGCATCAGTGGGGGACAGAGTTGAATGTACCAAAGACAGCGAGACACCCAAAATTATGCTATGCATTGTATCCGAGATATATCTGTATTATAGGAAATATGTCCGATATTTTGGGCCACTAAATCTTGTTTTCAATTGGGGCAGATCGTATCCAGATCACTGGTATAGAAAACAATAAAGAATACAACTATTTATTGGTTTTGGCAGGCCACAGCAGCAGCGACAACAGTTCGTATGTGTAATATGTATGCGCCGACAATCGCTTCTCGCAACACCTTCCATATTGACTTTGGCCAGGGTAATTTGGCTAAAATGTATCACAATACACACAATACTATAAGTAAAATTTGTGAACATTTAAATTACTAATTGTTGTTCCCTGTCACTCACACTCACACACTGCCACAGCCGTTGCTTGCTGCAGCTGTTTTTGCGAGCCTCTTTGAGCTGTTCTCTAATTGAGGATGATGTGTGTTGTGTGCTTCGGTTCCCTCAAAATGGGTCATTTCGGTTGTAAAAAATTGTCTAATTTTAGCTAACTGTACGGGGAACATGTGTGTTGTCGAGGCCAAATCCTTGCTCAAGTGAACGTTGCAAATGCTGGCCAAATTCAATCAATTAGATGCCAAAAATGTTCCGGCCGCAGAACAATGTGAAATTCAAATTCAAAATTAATTTACATGCTGTGAAGGATTTTTACAGCACTTTGCGAGAGCCATTTGCCAGCAATTAACACGTGCCCAAGGTGCGAAATCCAAAAACTCAATCTAAAAATATTCGCCACTGGCCACTGGCCACTGACCATATAGTATAGTGATATATATGAGATTCCGGCAGGCGCTTGGGCAGTACCACCCTCCCCCCCTCTGGGTTTTACAACCAGTCTTTACTGGCTGTAGCGTAGAGTTCGTGGAAGAAATTGCTGAAATATTTGCCAACAAATCAAATTGAAATGGCTGCAAATAAACAGAAAGAAACAGAAACACTTTCTGTATTGGACTTCGTACGCCCTATCCCTCAGCGCCATTCCCCTACCCCAGCCTGATTATCATCATCATCATCATCATCACTAGCATCTTGGGAGAGATGAGCCGCCGGGAGCGTCTAGATAATTGTTTCATTATTTATTGCACGTACAGAGAACATAACCAAAACAGATATCGAACTCTAGAATGCTGTAATTAATGGGAAATTAAGCGCGAAAGTGGCCGCGAGAGGGACCACCAGGTGTGGCTGTGGATGGGATGGGATGGGGTGGCCAATGACCTTGACAAATTGGAGGGCGCCGTAGAGGCCGACGCATGCACCTCGTACATACACGCTCCAGTTGTTTCACTCACTCAATTAGCCAAAGCATTTCTGGTTTTAATTTTTTAAATTTTATTTTGTTGTATTTTTAGAGCACTTGGCCATATCGCCCGATCTGAACCACACGCAGCCGCAGCGCCCGAACCACTTGGAGCTGATGCCATCGCAGTCGAGTCTACGCAAATCGACCAGCCTGCTGGTGAGTAACGTAACTGAATACTTGGCCATAGCTCAACCCCCATTTGCCCCATCCCCCCACATCCCACATCCCCAACATAATCACATAATGGCCTGCCAATAATAACCAAATCCAAATCGTATTAGCCATTACCATATCCTGGCCAAAGCGATTAAAATGCCATCGATGATTGGCCAAACAAAAATAAAATCTTTTGTACATATTAATATATTCAATTGGTTTATCCAAACACACAAAAAAAAAAAACCCACCCAGAAGGGGTAAACAATTCGGAATTAAATGGATCTGCGGAGAGGGTGTCAAGGTTTTCAGTGTTTAAATTTATATCACTTTATCTTTTGTTGCGATTGCAGTGCGATGTGGACGACAAGTCGCCCGGCTCACCGGCATCGCCGCGCACTGAGATCACACAGCTGAAGGATCAGCTGGAGGCACAGGCCCTGCAGACACGTCAGGCACTGGGACAACTGATGCTGGTGCGAGAGCAGCTCATCTCCGAGACGAATGCGCGCATCGAGGCGCAGGTGAGTGAACACATTATAGATTATATCCATTGGAATGACTGAGTATCAACTGAGTATATATCCCTTTTATAGGCACGCACGCAGCAGCTTCTGCAGCAGAATCGTGAGCTCTTGGAGCATCTGGCCTCGCTGGGGGCATACAACGAGCAGCAGAGCGCTGGCCTCACTACCGCCAACATAGGACTGGCTCCCCAGGTGAGATTGTACACCCAGAATTTGTGTGTGTTTTCGTTTAAGCTTTTGAGTTATGCGATCGTAAATTTGCGCTAAATCCGCTGAGCATATTCTGTATATCCTGACCAAGAGAATCCTTTTCTTGCATGATTTTTTTTAATTTACTTGGCTGCCATTTGCTGTTTTTTGTTGCACGACTGTTTATTGTTGTTCTAGCTGTTTGTTTGTTCGTTGTTCTCGTTCTCATTCTCGTTCTGAATTGTTGTTAGTTCATTGAGCTGTGCCCGATAGGTGCCCCTCCTGTGTACGTAATGACATTGTCTGTGACCTTTCAACCCCTTTCACCAGCAATCACAGCTGCAGCTGCTGCTCCAGGCCACCAGCAACAACAACAACCTGGCGACCATAAACCAGCAGATCAACAATCTGGGCAACATCAACCAGCAGCTCACCTCACTCAGCCACCAGTTGAGTGGGCTTAATCAGCAGAGCCAACATCTCCAGAACCTGCAACAGCAGCAGCAGCAACAGCAAACGCCACCAACGCCGCAGCAGCAACAGCAGCAGCAGCAGCCACAGCTGACTCCGGCCACACCGCCTCCAGCCAGTGGCAGCAGTACGTATCCCTCCATGAGTCAGCTGCAGAGCATCAGCAATCAGCTGCAGCAGCAGCAGCAACAGCAGCAGCAGGATGCCCTGTCCAAGGATCTGTTCCAGGTCAATCAGGAGCTGCTCAACAGGCTGCAGGCTCTCAATCTGAATGCAAATCCAGCACCGACTCAGCAGACGCCCTCTGCCTCGACGCACAACTCCTTCTTCTATGCGAATCCGTTGTCCTGTGCCGCGGCCACACCCAACAACAACAATGTGGCAGCGGGCGGGTTCAATTTCCTTGCATCTCCGGGGCCAACGGGCAACTTGACTCCCTCGCCACTGGGCACCTTGAACCGGAACTCCTTTGCCGGCAGCTCCTCCCTGAACGAGGACTTGCGCCTGAGCATTGAGCAGAATCTGAATAGCCTTGAGGAGCAGCTGAAGGCGGCCGTTTCCAACGGTAATCTGGCTGGTCTGGCCTGCGGCGGATCCACGAGCACGCGGGACACCAGCCGCAGCTCCTCCACGCTGGACTCGCCCTCGTCGCCGCGTCTACGCAACAGCAACAACAATATCAGCCCCGGCAGCAGCCAGAGCATTGGCAACGGAAATGGAAATGGGAATGGGAATGGGAACGGCAACAACAATGGCGGCAGGGATACACGCTTCAATACGGTGCTGCTGCGGGTGACGGACGAGGCGGGACACCAGCGGAAGCTCTCGGCCACGCCCAGCTTCATAACGCGCAGCACCAGCGAGAAGGTGCCCAATCGTAGCCAGATGATGAGCCAGGTGCAGAGGACCACCTGGGCCAGGCACACGACCAAGTGAGCGAGGATACACAGCTACAGGACACAGGATACAGGAGATTCTACACGGACCAGGACCTAAGTTAGACGAGATTGAGTGGTTGAATTCGATGAAGTGTGAGTGTGCGTGCGTGCGTGCGTGTGAGTGGAAAAGTGTGTGAATGAGTTGAACAGTATTAATTTAGATGAAAGCTGTAACTTTAGTTTGCATTTTAGGAGCCGGTCGCAGTGTGCCAAAGCAAATTAATTGCCCGCCCCCCCAGCTCAAAGTTAGTCTAGTGATTATCGATTGATTATGTTACCTACCTACCTACCGATTATAATCGTTGTTAAGCGGTGATCGGTGAGAGATTAAAGTGTGCCAAATTAGTCTCCAATTAGTCTTCTCTAACACAATGTCGAGTGTCTAGTCAGTGAAAGTATTTACGAAGAAGCCCAAGAATATAAACCCAAAAATCCCCCCCCTCCCACAATGGCATATCAGCAATGAAGAAACTGGAAAACTAAACGTTGAAAAGTATTTTCTCTTCCTAAAATGAATTCTACTACCTATACACACATCCCCCTTACCAATTAAGCTATTGAATCTATATCTACTATATTTCTATTCTAAATACTTAGTTCAATAATGTTATTTTTGTAAATTGTTGTATTTTAATTGACTTTTCCCCCCTACGAATGTTGCCAAATGGAAAATGCAATAGTAATAATAATAATAATAATTATTTGAAATGCCAATAATCTATGCATTAATTAGTTGCCCGGTCAAATGTTATTTGTTCATTGGAAAATCGAAGAGCAACAGCAGCAGCAGCAGCAGCAGATAAATAATAATAAAAGTCGCATAATTATGTACATATAAACAGAGTTCTGGCCAGAGTTCTCTCTCCACTTGTTTTCCCTACTACATACCCGTTTTATTGTTAATAATTGAAAGTTAACGCTGGCTTGGCTGGCCAATTTCCCTAATGAGTTTTCCAGCAACCGTACTCCTGAGCGCATTACGGAGTGCATAAATTTCGCCTCTTGATGAATGAAAAACGATGCCACGGTGCGGCCCAAGCAGCAAGCAAGCAGCAAAAACAAGTGTCGCCATTTTTCACTTTCCCTGTTCGTCGTCTCGACGACTGCTCTTCTCTTTTTCTCGCCCGCTGGATTTAGCTGCGGGGCAGCAATTTGCGCACATAACTCATTTGCATAAATTTACACACTGACTTTAAAATTTACCCACCACCACCCCAACACATCACCCCACTCTCCCTGACTCATTTCCGCAGCTCTCCTCGACGGCCAAAGTGGCACGATGGTTCCAGCAGCTGCCCTGGCATACCGCCTCCCTGTCACGCCCGGAGAGCGGCTTCGTTTCCGGTGACTCGCGCTCCGAGAAGTATCAGGAGGATCATTTCTACGGCACCATTGCCAAGGAAACGGATGATTTATGCGACGAGTTCTTGCTGGTGGAGGGCAGCAGCACCATTTGGACAAAGTTAAGCGCCAAAAAGCGCCGTAAATTGCTCGGCATGCGTTTGGGCAAAGTGACAACGTTCTGAGCGGCAGGCCAGTGCCCACCGCCCCCTCGTACTGCCGTAATGTGTGCGTTTATTAGCTGTTAAGTGAGCTTTTTTTAGCATAGTCCTAAGTGTAGGTTTGATAAATATTCCGGCCCTAAGCCCCTGGCCCTTACTTACTCGTAATTCATATGAAAATCAATAGACTAAATGACCAAATTAACTGAAAGCGAAACAAAACGAACGAGATATGCTCGATATCATCGAGATGCCATGCCACACACAGGCAGGAGGTGGACCCAGGAGAAGGCGGAGGCCAAAAGCAACAGGCATACGAGTTAGACATAAGTCAATTAGCGAGCATAGTATCAGCTCGGCTCAATGTGTATTTAAGTATTAACTACAAGAAAGTATTTGGCAAACACATCACACACACACACACACACACACACATTAGCTCAGAGAAACACACACACGTACTCTTGTGGCCAATTCATTAAGCGAACAAGCCACGCATATTAATCATACGCCACGTAGGGACACACAGCAGTCAAACGCTCAGCATCTTTCACACTGCTTAACTTGACCAGCTTTTCGGTTACGAGAAAAACTGGTTATTAAGCTAAGCAAACACGGCCAAGGTGACGGGGAAAAAGAGCGCGCGCTAGAGCTCCTGCAGCAAGGACAACAAAGATCAAATGTTTGCTATTCATAAATTTTTGCCAGCATCAAATTTTTTATGCATAAATCGATTCCAGTTTTTGTGCTACCCCCTTTTTTTTTTTTTGCGGCTAACTCTATAAATTCAAGTCCGCTTCTGTGGCGTGTGCGGTGTACGTGGCGTATACGCGATTTACTCGAAAATTTATGGGATTTCCTTCCTTAGCTATAAAAATAAAAAAAAAACAGGGTTTGGTTAGGGACACGTAGATAGTTAGCTAGCTTCAAAGTGGGTGTACAATGTACGAGCCAAATGCGGGATTGTACTTGAGCTCTGATACGTTACGGGGTAAGTGCTCGTAGATAAGGATGCAGAAAAAGGATTAGCAGAATATTTAGATGGGTATTTGTATCTGTGAAATGCTGGGGCAGCCAACCAAATGATGCAATTGAAATTTGAGTGGAACATCAGGCACAGCCACAGAATTTCAATCATCATCAAACTCCGCTCGGAGTTTTATTGCATTATTTGGATGCGCCCCCCCTTGCTTTTATTGTCCAGAAGTGGCAGCGGCAGCAGCAGCATTAGACGATTTTCCTAACGATTTTATTACATTGCCCCATTTAGGTACGAAATTGATAGATGCAGAATGAAGATTAAATAGAAATAAACAAATTAATATACGTAAAATGGTTTTAGGTAATTTATGCAAACAACTTTTTTGAGACTGAAACTGAAATTTGTACTAAGCATAATCCAGGCCAGGAACACACACATACACATCACACACACACACATTCAACAAACAACATTTGCGACTAAAATATGGTAAAGTTTATTTTATAAGCCACTTAGCATAACGCAACCCATAACCCCGAAGTTAAATTAATATTTAGTGGATCTGGTGGTTCAGCGCCATAGAATAAAGTGAAAATAATAAAAATTAAATGCAACATGCTGAGTTACACTCGTCTTCTGCTGGTGTCGCTATCCTATTCATGCCACTGCTGCTGCTGGTGCTGCTGCTGCTGCTGCTGCTGACACTTTACAGTTCAATTAATTTAACGCGCTTTGCATGTAATAGAAAAAGCATTGCATATCAGCACGGGGCAGGACACGGATATGCGAACACGGCACCGCAGGTGGGCTTGGCTGGAACTGAAAAGTGGCACTGGGACTGGGTCGCATTCCAAGGAAATATGGGAGGGTTCTGCAGGGAGGACATTTTGCAAAACGGAGCAAGCTTTAAATTAACTGAAAGATACCCAATAAGCAGACACTATAAAATATTCTTGATAACTCTTACAGGTAGCAAAAATTTGAATTTAAATTGGAATAAATAGAAACCCTAAATAAATTAAAAATATCTATTAAATTTTAGACCTAAATGGTACTGAAAATATTACAAAAAGAAACCCAACTATGCTGCAAATATATCCCCCAACTGTTTTCAGTACAGGGTATACAAAGTACAAAAGAAAAAACAGAGTGAAGGCAGCGCTTGTGCTCTCATAATTAAGGACATGGGCCAACGCAACGCCCTAATGGAGGGCAGATACAAAGATACCAAGTAAAAAAAAAAAAAATAGAAAAAATAATAATAACAGCAACATGAAAATGAAAAGTGAAAATGAAAAATGGAAATTTCTCACATGGTGAATGCGACATGCGATATTTTTGCTGTATTTTTTTTTTTTTTGGGGCCAGCGCTGTTGACACTTTTTGGGGCTGCGGCAGACATAATTACACAAAGGTGGGCGGCTATGGCGACCCTGAAAGCAGGAAGTTGCCTTTTGTGTCACCCAACACGGGCATGGGCATGGGCACGGGCACGGGCACCGCCAACGAGCATGCGAGAGTGCTGTGACTGTGACTGTGACAGCAACAAGAAACAGTTGAAAGTGCCGCGTGTCCTGTTCTGTCCTGGCCTGTCCAGCGTCATCCTCATTGGGGCAGACGACACACATATCCGTGGTGGGACACGGGCACACATCCATTGACACTTATCGCGTGGGTGGCGCGTTTAATTCACATTTTATTTCAGTGCCTGCCCGTTGGCTGCGCGCGTAATTGTTGCTTCCACGACGAGCTGTACAGGCGGCCGGGAGGCCATGCCAGGATATAGTCTGTTCGCGTTGGCGCTGCACGGCGGTTGTGTGCGCGGTGAATCGCGCATTCTGTGGGTACAGTACACTCGCCGCCATCCTGTTGTTTAGTAGTTGGTCATGCATAACGAGGCCAACGAGAATGTGGAGCCGCAGCCATCCAAAGCCGCAGCAGGAGCAGCAGCAGGAGCAGCAGCAGGAGCACCAGCAACAGTGGCAACGACCGACTCCATGCAGAGCCCACCGGCTGCAGCCCCACGGCGACCCAAGCCCGGAATCCTTCGACTGGACATTGGCAAGCCGCGACGCTCATCAGGTGGTTCTGTCGATTTCCGCTGCGTGGGCAGCAGCGGCAGCGGCAGTGGCAGCAACATCGCCACTGGCGCCAACAGTGAGGTAAGTGAGCTTGATTTACTGCCCGCTAGGGAGTGCTTACGATTTGGCCAGGCCAACGACATGTGCAGCAGCAGCAGCAGTAACCATGGCAAAAACGGGGAATGGGAAGTGTGTAAGAGCTCCTAGAACCTGCAGCAGCAAATGGCAGCAAATGCCAATAGCCATAAACGCCAATCGCACTTAAACGGTGGATGGCATGGCTCTGGTCAAGCAATGCAGCAGGTCCACCCAGGTGGCGGTTAAAATCATTTTTTATGTGTGCCACCAGCTATTCAGAGTGTGTGTGAAACGAAAACCTGAAGCCATGGCGAACATGGTATGCTCTTGATATTTGTAGAACGTGTTTAGGTGGGCAAGGAAGAAAGGTGTAGTGGCGGAATATGCCTGTAGGACATCTGCCAATACAATCTCCAAATGTGGATATCATTTTGGTTGTTGGTGTAGAAGGTTTACTTAGAAAAGGGATTTAATTTTGGACTAATTGAGGCAATGGATATTCATTTAATTTTCAATCTGAGTTTCACTGAAGTCAACACCCAGATAAAAACCCTGAGCCTCGGAATAGTTACAATTAGATATATTTATGGCATTTATATTTGCACCGAGAGTGGAAATACTAAAATCAAATACATTTTAAAATAATTACAGAACTATTTAAAATTATATAATATGAATAATATGAATAATAATATATAATAACAAAATAATTATAATAATAATAATATGAAAATATTTAAAATAAATATATTTAATATTTTAATTAAATATTTTCATATTTAAATTAAATATATTTTCTAAAATTACAATAGAATAGATTTATTTTAAATTATTTTATATTTATATTTTATATTAAATACGGAAGGTATTAAAAAGTCTTTTTAATATATTTTTTTAAATCTAAGTGAATTCTATTTAATTTCGCTATGTTTTTGTTTAAAAATTGAGTTCTAGGAATTCTTACGCCAACACTCAAGAATTCAATCTTGCACTTTCCCAGTGCAAAGACCAAAGACCACAACGCACCTGTTATGCCCACTCCCAGCCGCTAGAGTATGCAAAGATTCATTAGGTCAGACATGCGACAAAAGCTAAACGCAGGCGGAACTGCGGCGGACGCGGCCACACCCAAACCCCCGCTCGGACTCGGACTCGGAGTCGTGGCCAAACATTTATTTAGTCATAAAGCTGATGGGTAATCTCAACAAGCCAGGCCAGGCCAAGTGGGTCAGGTGGTTTGTGTTTGTGTCAGTTTTCGTTTGAAATTCTTACAGTTGATTCCCATACACAATCACACGCACACTCGCGCACACACACAGTCAGTGTTAGCGAGCAGAGAAAAGCGCATCTAAAGCAGCAGACAGAGAAAGGAGAGGACATATCTGACCATTGGCATGTCTACGATTGGCTTGGAGACGACGCCGTTGCGGCACTTCATCACCCGCAGCAGCTACGAGGGAGCCTGGAACAAGGAGGTGAACATGATGGATGGCTTCGGCACCTATCGCTATCCGGACGGCAGTGAGTATCGCGGCCGGTTCCATCATGGCAAGTTCCATGGGTTCGGCCACTTGCGCCTGGCACAGCCCTATCGCTTCACCATCAAGGGTGTGTTCAACCACGGCAAGCTGGTGAGCATCGAGGACATGTGGTTCCCCGACGGACTCCATGTGCAAGGCCAGTTCACTGGCAACGACTTCGACGCCTCGGACTGGGACTATCTGACGCCCCAGGACCGACGCTACCAGGCCGAGCGACGCTACGGTCAGACGCCAGTGGGTCCCACTGCCTATGTGACGAACAGCCTGAAGTCACGGCAAGTGCCCAAGGACTGCTACGATGTGGAGGAGGGCATCTACAATCCGAAGACGGGCTGGCTGATGGATCGCCCGCCGCCCTTCACCAGCAGCATCTACGTTGGCTGTACCCGCGACAAGGACTGGATCCTGCGCCACTGCCGCCACGCCCGCACCGAGCAGGTGCGCGAACCCATACCGTACTTCTGTCGCCGCATCATCGCCAACAACCTGGTGACGGAGCTCGCCCAGCTGCCCAAGACGGACATCTATGCGCCCAACGCCAGGCTGGAACGCCAGCGCTACTACCACAAGCTGTGCAAGGAAAAGGGTAAGCCCATGCCGCGCACGGATCCCTCAGCCATGGAGCTAACGCTACCTGCCAACTGTAATCCGAGCGCCAAGGCCAGGGCAACGGAGCAGTGTCTCCGTGCGTACGAGCGCATTGCGGCGCAGCGTGAACTGGAGGAGTTCAGAGACTTGCAGACCTACCACTTTGACAAGACGGAGAAGGCGCCACGGGGAATGGGGAAGCCCCGCAAGTGGACCAGCAGCTCGGATGTGCAGCGCGTGGACTCGATTGGGGCATCGAGCTGCCGCTCCGATAGCTTTGCCTGGGAGCCAATACCGCTGGACATCAAGGAGACCTACGCCACGGCCAATGCCATGATGAGCAAGAAGGTGGCCGACAATTTCAATGTGGTGCAATCGAACATGCTGCGCCGTTCGAGCCTCATGGAACAGTCGCGCTCTGTCTTTGAGTTGTAAATCGACAGCCAAATGCATTTTATTTGTATATTAAATTGTAGTTTTTTTTTCTCCTTTAACTGCGAGTGCGACACTCAATAGTAGATGCCAGTGTGCTGGCGTATCCAGTTCAAATGGCTGGTGATGCGAGCGAACCCAGCCGGCATGCCCAGGGTGCAGCCCTGCGTGGACACGAACAGCGACAGCCCCACCATAATGGAGCCCTGTTTGGTGACCAGGGGACTGCCGGCATCGCCGAAGCAGATCGACTTGCCGTTGATGGTGCGAGTGCACAGGATGCGATCGGTGATGGTATCCCGGCCGTAGAACGGAATGCACTCGCTGTTGGACATGATCTGCAGATCGACGCACTGCAGCCAGTCGGGCAGTGCCTGTGTGAATGCGGTGCTGCCCCAGCCGCAGGTGGTGGCCCACCTGTTTTCGTAGCGATTCGATTGATCCCGCAGCCCCGGCAGTGCCACCTTCCTGACCCTGTTGCTGTAGCTCACCTGCGGTACGTGCACCAGGGCGAGCTGCTCGTTGTTCTGCACGTACTGCGAGCTGCCCACCGACACCGCGTACAGCGCCTGGCTGCGTCGTGTCGCCCCAAAGTAAATGGTCACGCCAGTGCTGGCCGTCAGACAGGCGCGTGCAGTCAGTATCCAGGTGTCGCCAATGATGGTGCCACTGCACCACTGATTGCTCGTGTGGAAGGCCATGCCCACGACAAAGGGCGCCTGGCCATCGTACGCCGGCTGGCCATTGGTGATGATGTGGTCGGGAACTGGCTCAGAACTGTTCCCACTCGCAGTGGCAGACGCACTCAAAGCGCAGAGAAATATTACCAACAGTTCCATGTTTCCCCAGACGACGACTCGATACTGTCCAATGGAGCCTAAGCTTATTTATAGCTCCAACCAGGGCGTGTAATTAACCAACAGTTTCGTAAGGCATAATTTATTATTATTTCTTATCGTGGGTGTAGTTTTCGCAGAGTCGCTTAGGTTTCGGACTGTGCTAATGACCTAACGAGAACCAGAATTTGTGAAAAATGTTTGCCTGGGTGGCAGCCATCAAAAAATCCAGGGGTACAAGCAACAGCACTTTCTGTACAGTCTCGTCTCAGATTGTTATATTTCAAAGTATTAGTTTTTCTCTTTTTCAAATTGTGTCTTTTTTCGATGGAGAAATATACAATTTCTCGCGCTTCAAAGGCCGAGCCAAAGCTGTCGATTGATGACCAGCGCAGCGGCAACTTTCTAACTGGCACAAAATTCTTTGGCGAAATGAACGAGCTGGGCATGCAGGACTACGGCACCTACTTGTATCCAGATGGTACACGCTATGTGGGCTATTTTCGCAACAATCGCTTCCACGGGCGTGGCTCCATACAGCTGCCACCGCCGGTGGGCGTCAACTTTGAGGTGACGCACGAGAACGGCAAGCTAGTGGAGATCGACGAAATGGTCTTTGACGATCAGCTGAAGGTCGATTTCACACGAATGGCAGACGGTGCGTTTAGCTTCCAGCCGTGGAAGTATTGCACGTCGGAGGATCGTCGCTTCTACGCGGAGACGAGAGTTCCGCTGGCCCCGGTGGGCCCAGCCAAATACCTCACCAAAGACGGACCCACAGCAGCCGAGCTGCCAAAGAACGTCTTCGACTTGGGCTACGGCCAGCTGAACCCGCAGGGCTTCCTGATGGACCTGCGCTACAACACGCAGAGCATCTATGTGGGCTGTCGCAAGGTGCGTCACTGGATCACGGAGCACTGTCGTCACGGCAGGCTCAGCAGATATCACTTGAAACGGCAGGTGAAGGAAAGGTCTGCCCGGGAAATTATGCAAAATAATCTGGAGGTCAGCAATAATTGTGGCAAAAAATCGGGCCGCAGTGTGTGTCCCCCCATGCCCATGCCTGGCATCTGTCGCCGTTCCAAGAGCCAGGAGAGCTCCGAATCGGCGAAGGAGACGCGCCTACATGCAGCCAGCACATCGGACAGCTGCAGCACCAAGGTCGATCGTACCGTGAAGCGGGAGCCGCGTCGCAAGTGCAGGCCGGACAAGGTGAAACGCGACCAAAGACGCGACACCAGCGAATCGCATGTGTGCCGCATCAACTGATGTTGCATCAACATCATCATCATCAACATCAGCATCATCATCACAGGTTTAGTTTAGTTTCGGTTCTACTTAGAATAAATAGAAATATATTTTTGACCCACATTTTGAGCGAAGGCGTGGCGGGTGGGCCAGGCCGTGTTAGGGCCCAAGATTTATGGCGGCCAAAACTGCAATCGAACATGGAAAGCCACTTAGGCCTATGAGGCGCGGCATTTGGGTCAGCATGTGGCACTTTTCAAGTTCACCTGCACCCTGTCACAGAATCATTGTGGGACTCCTTCTGGGACTCCTACTAGGACTAGGACTAGGAGACACACAAAGCGAGACGCAGCGTCGAGCACGGCGGCTAATGAACCCATTGGGCTGGCTACACGTGCGCGGATTTCAGTGGGGAAGCCACGCACAAATAAATTTGAATGTTAATTAAAGCCTCTGGCAGAAACTTCATTTAATTAAAAGCGAACGAAAGCGAAATCAGAGAAAGGAAAAGCACACACAAAACACAGGCAGCAGCGGCCCAAAAAAAAAAACATATTTCAATAGTGGGCGCTCCCATGACACACACACAAACAAAAGAACTGGGAAAATCCTAGATATATACATAGATATATGTATATGTATATGTATTTGTGTATCTTTTGTGTTAGAATTCGCGATTTTCTTTATCAACCCTTGCATGTTTGATTTTCATTTACATGACCAGCCCGTGGATGGGGATGTGAATGGGGATGGGGATGGTGTTGGTGTTGGCCAAGGAGAGGCAACTACAGGACAGAACTGGACAGAACCAGAAGCCAAGAATACAACGTGACTCAATATCAAAGCCACACACACACACACACACAGACAGATACCACAAGACTCGTTGGAGCTGGCCAGTGGCCACCATCTAAATGGACATTCGAAGTCCTGGCTGGTTACGCCCGGACAGGACACGGCGGTTGTTATCACATGCCGCTGGCAATTTTTACACTCATTCGTCTTCGTTCCAACTGGGCGAGGAAGTCAGATACTCGGCTTCGTCCGTGCTCCCTTGCCACGGCTCCCTACCGCAATGTGCCTGCCTGGTGAGTGCCTGGTGGTCTGTGCCTGTCTATGTAAATTCCTTTACGTTCCTGTGTTGGCTGTGTGTGTGTGCGTTTTGGGCACGTTTTGGCTTTGATAAGTTGGCCATGGGTTGGGTTTGGTCATTGGTGTTAGCCAGGACAGGACCACTACTCGTCTCTGCCCGTCTCTCCGTGTGTTCTTCATTCATATTCATTCATTATTAGAAAAAATTCAGCATTCGCTAGTGTCTGTGTCTATCTGTCTCTCTCTCTGTGTGTGTGGGTGTGTGGGTTGAGGTGTATATGTGTGTTGGTCTTTGTCCTTTTGGATGTTGGTCTTTTGCGCTTTGCTGGCCTGGTCAGCGCTCTAAGCCGTTCAGTCTGCGCATAAGGCTCCTCCGACGCGCTACGTCGTGGGCTCAACTACAAACTTAAAATTGAAAATTAAATAGTTCTCCTACAAACTGAGATTAAGACTTGCCAGCAAGAAAACTTACAAACTAAGTTAAATCTAATCAAGTTCAAGTGCAATTAATTAATGAGCTAATTGTCTCTGTGACTTGACAGAGCATTAGATGTGACAAGTGTGTTTGAAATAATTAGCTAACAACTTTAAACTCGTACGGTATTCCCGCAGAACAACTCGGGTGTCACCTCGCCACATCAATTATCTGTGACCTGGGCACCGCCATGCGACTTGAATAAGGTTGGCTGGCAAATGCAGAGCAGCGCCGATGAGAAGCGCGAATTCTACCGAGGACAGCGGGGAAAGAGGTGAGTGGACATTTCTTCAGCCACTTTTGTACACATTTTACAATTATTAACTACAGAGCCGCATCGCAGGAGGAGAATAGATCGTATGAGCTGAACAACGGTACGTGGGAGAGGAGAAAACTCCTCCACACTCCCTCTATGTATCTCTGGCCACCAGCTCAGTCTCAGTCTGCTTTTGTTTATCCTTGCACAGATTTCCAATCACAGAACCAAAGCAGCGACGCCGAGAGCAGCCACCACGAGCCCCCACACTTTGTCGTCCACAGTCCGCCGGCACAACTGTACGAAGATGGCGGCACTGGCGACGTTGACGACGAGGAGGACTACTCAATATCCGTATCGGCAATAATGCAGAGACGTGCCAGTGTGCGCGGCTATCGGGGTAAACGTGGCAGCCGCAATTCGCGACGAGCATCTAGTCCCATGGATCACGTGCTGGATAGTGTGGAGCGGCGGCGCTCCAGTGTCTATACGACAAGTTCAGGCAAGGGCACTCCAGCAATTTGCAGGAACAAATTTGCAGAAAAAAAAAAGCGAAAAGATTTTCCTTAGTTAACGAGCAGCAGCAGCAGCAGCAGCAGCTGCCAGTGGAGATGGGTAGATGGGGCGTCTCTCCAGTGGCTGCTAATCAACGTCTGGGGGCCTCTTTACTCGTAATTTCGCAACGGCTACGTGCGGCCATTTAGACGGTCACGAGTCCCACTCGGCGTATGTGTAATGTGTGTCTGGTTTTGCTTTGGTTTACTTCACAGAGGAGGGCACCAATCAGGAGTCCACGCAGGAGCAAATCTTTGAGAATATACGCCTACACAAGGAGGTTATACAGTCGGTGAAGTTACAGCCATGGCCCATACGCAAGAAGCTCAAGCTGGTGCGGCAGGTGGGTGCCAGTCCAATCTGTGTGTGTGTCAAGAAGGGAGGAGAGCCACGAGAAACTGGGCGCGTTCGTTTTCACGCTGCTTGTCAGGTCGTTGAAAATTTTACGACTCGAACTGCTCCTGCTCCTGCTGCTCCTCCCCCCTCTTCGAACACTCCACCACTCATCAAATTGTTCAGCAGAACTTTTCGATTTCATTCACACCACACGAAAACTCCTTATCTTTCTTTGCCGGTTCCATCTTGTGGCTTCGCCCTGGCATTTTTAATGATGTTTGAACTTGGATGTGCCACCCACCCCGTTCACGCCTCCTGCTGCCCGCCGTGCATGTGTTGACAGGCCAAAACATATGTGGCACGCCACGAGGGCGCGCTTCAGGAGCGATTCGCCATGTCACGCAGCACCCGAGACTTGTGGGCGAGGTTTAAAATTTTAATGGCAGCAGTAAGTGATTTTACACCCCCTATCCCCCCCCCCTCAACACAATCTTTCTTCTTCCCCCCGCAGTAGCAAATTGTCATCCCGCCTGCAGTCTGCACACTGCACACTTGGCAGAGGCAGAGTGCAGTCCGGGTTGGGTTGGATGAAAATATTTATGTTTACACAATTTATGGGCCACTTTCCATGCTGAATGGCTGGCAGGACATTCAATAAATCCCCCATCCACACAGTCGCATAATTCACAGAGTTCTCCGACTCTGCGGCTCACTTGTAAAACCAATTAAAATACGAACTCCTTGGAGACTCCTCCCGGAGACATGGCCCGTAGCTCATGTGTGTGTCCCAGCCCGCTTATGTTTATCTGTTCTGCCTATCCTGCAGCGCTGGCGACACTGGAAACGTGAGACGACCAGCTTCCTGACCGTTCTCATACCCTGGGAGCTGCGCATCAAGGAAATCGAATCGCACTTTGGCTCCGGCGTGGCCTCCTACTTTACGTTCCTGCGCTGGCTTATGTGGGTCAACATTATGATAGCCATTCCGCTGGTGGCCTTTGTCATTGGACCGGAGGTGGGTAGCCCTAGACTCCGTGAGAGTTACCCCCATTTATGCATTCTTTATGCAGTACTTTGCCACGAAACACGGCGAAACGGATCCAAGGAAACGCATGACCGACGCGGAAGCCAATGTGGCTGGCAATCTCTTTACATTCTGGGAATTTGAGGGATTCCTCAAGTATTCACCTATGTTTTATGGGTAAGTTTTGCTTGGATAAGGCCTGGATAATTAGCACCCCTCGCTCATCTTCTCTCTTTCTCTGCAGCTACTATTCGAGCACTTCCGGCATTAGCGTTTCCGGCTATAAGCTGCCCTTAGCCTATTTCCTCACCGCCGTCTTGGTGTACATCTACAGCTTTGTGGCCACGCTAAGAAAGTGAGTATGGGAGGGGTGGGTGGGTGCTTCCTGGTGATGTCTGGGGCAGCACTTCATTAAATCTCTGGTCATCGAAGCCGCAAAAAGCAAACTAAATGTCAGACCTGCTCGTTAATTAATTAAACAAAAACTGAAGCGCTGATTAAATAATACAAATCTTGGCACGGGCGTGTCTGGATCACGAAAAGGAGGAAGCAGAAAGCAGGCAGAGAGGAGGCAGAGAGGAGGCAGAAAGCAAGCTGAAAGCAGGCTGAAAGCAGGCAGAGAGGAGGCAGAAAGCAGGCTGAAAGCAGGCAGAGAGGAGGCTGAAAGCAGGCAGAGAGGAGGCTGAAAAAAGGCATAACAGAATTGACCATTATGAGTTACGCACGCACAGGGGGGAGTGGGTGGTGTGGGCGCCCAGACACGTGCTGGGTGGCTGGGTATGGCAGGACTGTCGGACTATTGAGCGGAAACGGAAACGTAACGGCAAAACGCCATTTTGAGCAGGCAAAAGCCATTGGCCCCCGCCCCCCACAGCACCATTGGGCTGCTCGCTTTAATGGCTTTGCCGGCATTATGCTGATTTCGTAATTGAACAAAGTAGAAATGTCAACAGCCACAGCCACAGCCACAGAGCCGACACACTGACCTTGCCACTTGTCGTGGCACGTGCTCAGGGTGCGTGAATTATACGAATGTTTATGCTGCATTAGGATAACTGGAATTGGGTTCTGGAATGGGAGTATGCGAATTGTTCGGATTTCGGGCACAAATTATGGCTTGTAAGAGGGTTAAGCAGCAGAAGGGGCAGCAGGAGGGGAGGAACAGGAGGGGCAGCAGGAGGGGCAGCAGGAGGGGGCAGCAGGAGGAGCAGCAGGAGGAGCAGCAGCAGCTAAAACTTTGTCCCTGATTCTCTCGTCAACAGAATGGCAGAGAACTCTCGCAACTCGAAACTTTCCTCGAAGGATGATGAGTGCATCTTCTCGTGGAAGCTCTTCACCGGCTGGGACTTTATGATTGGTAAGTGGCTGGCCAGATAGGCCCACAGCCCCACCTCAGCTGCAGTTACAGCCAACTTTTGCCACTCCCTCTCCACTCTCCACTCGCCCACTCCCACAGGACACGCGGAGACGGCGCATAATCGCATTGCATCCGTGGTGGTTGGCTTCAAGGAGGCCCTGCTGGAGGAGGCCGAAAAGAAAAAGGATAATCGCAAGTAAGTCGCCGCCACAACCAAAGCCATTCTGCCCCACCAGCCATAATCAATGCCCTTTCAGCTGGCGGGTAATCCTGCAAAGAATACTCGTCAATATACTGGTCATGGGACTGCTGGGTCTGTCGGGCGCCACGGTGGTGCTGCTTGTTAATCAGTAAGTGACAGAAAAGCGAAGCAGCAGAAATTATTCTGCAGACTGATTTCCGATTTCTGATCTCTGACTTTGCAGCTCGGAGGATTTGGCCAAGCACGACAACTGGCTGAGCAGGAATGCTGTGAATGTGACCATGACGCTGCTCTCCTTCTTTCTGCCGATGATATTCGAGGCTTTGGGTCTGTTCGAGAACTGGCATCCCAGGCAGCAGCTCAGACTGCAGCTGGCTAGGTGGGGTCCAAACAAAACAAAATCTCTCTCTGGCGTTGCCTTCTAATCCACCTTTGTCCTTTGTCCTTTGTTGCGCCGCAGAATTATGATACTGAACATGCTGAATCTGTACTCGCTGATGTTCTCCTTCATCTACAAGATCAACAGCAAGGAGAAGCCGCTGCAACGGCTGAAGCTGGAGAACGAGACGAACACAATGGAGCTGCAGCATCTGCTGAGCTCCATCGAGGCGCTGCGTGCCACGTCGCTCTACAGCGACAGCACTTCGGAGGGCGGACTGCTGTTCGATGAATCCACGTCGACAGCTGCCTGGGGCGAGGATGGGGCCAGCACCACCGATGGACTGTTCTCCAGCACAGCTGCCACCGCTGCCACAGCGGCCGCTGCGCTGCTCTCCAGCGGTGTGCAGCGCATCAAGTGCTATAACATGACCTTCAAATGCTCAAAACCCATGCGCACCATCATCAGTGCAAAGAACTTGGCCACCACACTGATGCTCCTGAATCTGACCACAGTGCCCACAGTGCTGCCACCCACGACTTTGCCTACTACTTTGCCCCCGACTTTGCCTACTACTTTGCCCACCACAGAGCCGCCTGCAACCACTACGTCGTCACCCTGGACAACGGTGACCACGGAAGCTCCCACCACACTGAGCACAGAGCCGAGTACAACGACAACTTGGAGCACCACCACAAGCACCACTGAAGCACCTACAACAACGAAAGCGCCCACGACTGTCAGCACAAGGGCAACGACCACGACAACCACAGCGCCGCCAACAACCACTTCGACAACTACAACGACCACCGAGGCGCCCAAGAAAGCAGCTGAAGAGGAAGGCTACTACACCACCGACAGCGACGACGAAGATGTCTACGATTATGGCAGCGATGAGCCGCTGGCTTCGGCCTCCACTGTGCCGCCGGACAGCGACTCCAGCTACTCCAGCAGCTACACAGACTACTCGGAGGAGCCGCCTGTGTCGGCGGATGACTACGAGGACACGGAGGACGGCGACACCACACAACAGGCCGATGATCCGCTGGCTCAGGTCCTGGCCCAGTTCGATGATGCAGCGGAAAAGTCTGAGACACGAACGAAAAGGGCTGTGGGCGATCCTCCGCCTGTGTGGCGTACCAGCAAGTACAGTCGACGGCATCGAAATGAAACCAGTGCAGGATCCACCACAGAGTCTGGGGGCAATACGCCGCCGGCGAATGCGCGTAGGCCCGCGGTCTATAGACCGGCGCCCACGATAAGCCCAAAGGCCAGCAGCAGCAGCAGCAGCAGACCCACCAAGCGGATACTCACCGAAGCGGAGTGGAATGATCTCATAAATAAGCTGAGACAGGGGCGCAGAAAAAACACCACAACAACAACGACAACAACGACAACCAATCCCACGACTAGAAGAACACGAGGATGGTTCAGGTCAACAAGAACAACCGTGGAGAGTAGCTCAACCAGCGAGGATTACACCACAGCATCAACGGCAGCCAGCACCGCAGAGTTTGGCACTGACTCGACCAGCCCAGAGAGCAGCACCAGCAGCAGCAGCGGCACCACAGAGGATGAATATTCCTACACAGATCGATATGGCAGGACGCCGTACTATATCGGCTATGGGAGTGTGGCGGAGATCGGCAGCACCGTCTACTACGACGAGGACAGCGAGTACCTGGAGCTCTGTGTGATTACCGTGTGCCCCAGGGGGCCAGAGGACGACATATTCGGCGTTGGCAGCACCGCCGATGGCCTGGACAGCACCACCCAGAGCAGCGACAGCAAGCAGCTGTCCACCGTGAAGCTGACGCCGCTGGAGCGAAAGATGAAGCGCCTGCGGGAGGTGAAGCTGGCGATTAAGCAAATCCAAACCAATTTGACAACCATGTGCTGGGAGACGTCCCTCGGCCAGGAGCTGTCAAAGGTCATTGTGTTCGATGGGGTGAGTGTGTGGGAGAGAGAGAGAGGGAGAAGCAGCTGCTGAGCTGAGCTGAGAACCCAAAGATGCGACAGTTTAAAAGTGAATTTATCAACCCAGAATCAAAGGCAGAAGCAGAGGCAGAAGCAGCTATCAATTTGCCGACTCTCCCGACTCCTGGGGGGGAGCAGCTCTCGGGCTGCTCTGCTCTGCTGTATCAAAATCTATTTAGCCTAAAATATGATTGAACCCCAAAAGCGGAATATCTGTGTGCACAGGCGGAGAGGGTGGAGTGGAGTGTGGGGGAGACACAGCACAGAATGGGACTACTGCTAGCAACTCTCTCTTGTGAGCGTTTTGAGCGTGAAATTCCGTTTAGCTAAATTATCCGGAAAATTTAACGCAAAATTTGTTTTCCATTTTTTGCTCTCCTACTTGGGGCATGGGTGGTTGGTGGGTGGTGGTTACTACGAATCCCGTACAAAAATCAAATTCCAAAAAACCCAAAAATCAACTTGACTTAAAAGGCCAGGAAGGAGCAGCAGAAAAAATGAGAAAATGTGAATGGTAGAAAAATGTCTGAATGGCTGAAGAAGGAAGCACAAACGCAAAAGTATTTTATCATAATAATCGCTCTCGGGAGTGGTTTTCCATTGATACGCGCACAAAACGCAGCAGCTGGCATTCGAGCAGCAGCAGGAAGTGCGCGTCCCGCCCTCTGTGCAAGCCACAAACGAAAATTTACATAAGCCATAAGCGGGATTGTGAACTTTGGCCCCACGAGCACGCCCAAGCTCTCCTATTTGCCTTGTCCATTTGCCATGTCCCGCGTATCGCGTCTCAAGTGTCGATTGGCATCCCATTGGGGGCTGCTGCTGTTCGCTGAACTTTAAGTCTAATCGTAAACAAATTCCCCGCGCTGGGCGGGGCAATTGCTAAAGTTTTCAAGGTTGCGCCCAACTGGATATCGATGCTGCTACAGTCTGCTATCAGACAATCAGAACTAGGCGTGTGCATTCTGGCAGCCCTTAGAAAGCATCGCAATCCCAGGGATTACTTTCCCTTTTTTATTTCGTACCTAACATTTGTCCGACATTCGTGTAAACTGCCCGCTGGGTCAAGGCTGAGCTACAACAGTAACAAAAAATAAACCAAAAATTGGATCTGGCAGGGGTTTTTGATTATGCACCCGACATGGCGTACATAATCTCTATTAAACGATTTAAGCACATAAATTAAACAGGTTACGGGCAGGGCTGGCAGAGGGGCTTAAACGCATTTATGCTTTACGCATAACAAAAAGGCTCTCGCCGAAAAGGAAAGACTCCGAGTGCGCGCGCTTCTTGTGTTTGGTTTTCGATTCGACTTTTGGGGTCACGTGCTCGGCCACAAAATGTATTTGGGGGAGGGGATTTCTCTTGGTTAGTTTCTGTTAGACTAGGCAAATCAGCCATAAACTAGCTACAAGATACGGGATACGGGATACAGATACAGGATACAGGATACAGCAGGGGACAGGCACACTTACGTGTGTCCTTAAAGCTTTAAAGTGTCCTCGGACTGGGAGTTGCGAGTGCAAAATCCGAGCGTAGCTTCATTGCTGAACGCTTATTAAACCCAAACCCAAACCCATCCCAAACCCACTTTCTGCTCGTCCAAAGCTCATGTCCATTGTGGCGCCGCTCTGCATAGACTTTCTGCGTGCCTTGTTTGTGCGCTACGTCAATCAAAACTGGTGCTGGGACATGGAGAAGACCTTTCCACAGGTGAGTAAGAGCCTGGAACTCCTGCAGGCTCTGCCTGGCCAGCTGCAGCTGCCAGCTGTGACTCTGACTAATGCGTGGCTTTTGTTTCTCGTGGGGTGGGGCCTGCTGACTGCGCAGTATGGCGACTTCAAGATAGCCGAGAACATCCTGACGTTGATTAATAACCAGGGCCAAGTGTGGATGGGCATATTCTTCTCGCCGGGCCTGGTGCTCATCAACCTGGTCAAGCTGATGATTATGATGTACTTCCGGTCCTGGATAGTCCTCACCTGCAATGTGCCCCACGAGGTCGTTTTCAAGTGAGTATGGAATGGTTCTGGCTCCGGCTGTGGCTGCTAATCCCCAGCGTCCCTTTTTCAGGGCCTCCAAGTCCAACAACTTTTACCTGTCGCTGCTGCTGACGATGCTGTTCCTCTGTGTGCTGCCCGTGGGCTATGCCATCGTCTGGCTGCGCCCCTCCTGGCACTGTGGACCCTTCTCGGAGTACAATCGCATTGCCGAGTTCATCACCAACACCACACGCAATGCCCTGCCCAAGTGAGTGCCGCAGGAATCCCAATGCAGCAGACAAGGAACAGACAGACAGACAGTCAGTGATTTGGTTCTACCATTTCAGACAACTGCACGAGCCGCTGGACTATCTGACCTCGTCGAGCACTGTGATTCCGCTGCTGCTGCTGCTCATCCTGATCATCTACTATCTGGTGTCGCTGACGGGGGCGCTGCGCGAGGCCAATCAGGACCTGCGGACGCAGCTGCAGAAGGAGCGCGAGGAGGAGCGCAAGAAGATCTTCAAGGTGCCGGAGGTGAAGCAGGCGGAACCGACGGCCACAACGTTGACAAATCGCTGGCGCAAGGTGCTCGAGGCATCCTCGCCCGTCACGCCCACCCAGCAGCCCGACTTTGACACGGAGGAGTACAAGAATCAGGCGAGGAAAGGTAAGAGCCTCCCTGCACCCAGTGGAAAAATGTATAGAAATCTCAGCTGGCATCTCCCGCACCACTCCACAGAGCTCATCTCACGCATCATGAAGAAGGCGCTGCGCAAGGGTTCGGCCACCTCGGACGACGACTCCTTTGTGCGACGCGACGACGACGATACGGACACTGAGCACCAGGACTCGCTGCCCCACGATGAGGAGGCCAAGGACAAGCGGTTCGGCCTGTCGCGACTGCAGCAGATTCGTCGCACTCGGAAGCCCTCGCTGGTGGACATTGTGCAGATTGCCAAGCAGGAGCGGGCCCGTGCCAGCTCCATTGTGGCTGCCAATGGAGGGGGAGCAGCAGGGGGAGGAGTGGCCAGCAGTTCGGCTGCGGCTGGTGGCAACTTTCCCGTAAAGGAGCAGCATCCCAAAAGCCGTTTCAAAGTCGAGAAACACGAGCGCAGGGACAGGGACAGAGACAGGGGCAGCATGAAGGAGAAAAAGGAGCCCAGGCACAAGCAGCAGCAGCAGCAGCAGCAGCCGCAGCCGCAGCCGCCGCCCTACGAGTCGCCCAAGGACAATGAACATGATCCGGATACAAATTCAAGGATTGTGAGCGAACGTCGCGCCAGTTTGCTGCGTCGCCACAAGGCGCAGGGGGGCAACGGAGACGAGTCAAAGCCGAGCACACCAGAGCCGCAGACACCCAGAACAGAGCCAGAGCCAGAGCAGACGGAGTCCACGCCCGAAACGCCTCCGCTGGCCAAGAGCAAATTTCACATAATTGACGAAAAGAAGCCGCCGCAGGAGGTCGAAGCTAAACCCTTGCCATTGCCCAAGGAAAGCGGTGGGGGAGGCGGAGGCGGTGGCGGACTCGAGGCTATTGGCCTGGGAAAGTTCAAGTTTCGCAAGCACAAAATCAAGTCAAATAATGCGGTGCTGGCTAAGCCCGAGCCTGAAGTGTTCAAGTTCGATGAGAGGAGCGTGGAGCGGAGCAAGGGGGGAGCGGGTGTGGGGGCCGATGTGTCCGCCTCGGATCACCTAAGCGGCGAGGTGGCAGCCGGCGGTGAGGAGCAGTCGAAGGAGCTACCCTCACCCACGCCCAGCCAGGGCCATCATCAGCGGCAGCTGTCGGTGCTCTCGCGACAGGGACGCAAGAAGATTGGCTCCCTGCTCGCGCTGGTACGCGAGGCAGTCAACATCAAGAAGGACGATGTGGAGCAGGGCTCCGATGAGTCTCCCGGCCCCACCACGCCCACATATTTGGCCTACACACCGCCCCCACCGCCATCAGTATTGTCGAGCAACTCCAGCGCCACGGCCCTCGAGATGCCACCCACACCGGAACCGGAATCGCCAACGCCCAGTGCACCGCTGCATTTTGGCAGCAGCAGCAGCAGCACCAAGCCGCCAGCGGTTAGATCCGCCCCCACGGCCACAATGGATGACTTGGAGGAGCTGGATATGCCCGGCCCCATCACATTTCCCAACCGAAGCGCCTCCCAGCGACGGCGCACCATGCGGCAGGACTCGCAGAGCTCCGTTTGGTCGGACAACATACCCACAATCACCATCAGCACCACCGGCAGCGATGAGTGCATTGTGGAGGCAGCGGCGGTGCCGCCGCAGAATGGGCTGCCGGAGCCGCGCAGCAGTGGGCCGCCGGGGCCCACGGTTAACATTATCAAAATCAACATTGAGGACGACGAAGAGCAGAAATAACAAAATTGATTAGCTCTTCCCGCCAAGTGCCTTAAACGCCAGATTGTCTTCTAAACCAAAGGAATTTGCATTCTTCCTCCCACTCTCGCTCTCCCCCTCTCTCCCTCACTACTTCTACTCACGATTTAGCTTGAATCTTGTTCCTCTTAACTGCTGACTACCAAAACAATGCAAAACAATTAAATTACATTCATTAACTCATTAACTAGTTTAATTCCCTATTAAAATTGAAATAAAAACTAAATAAATTGCACGAAATTGAGATTATATACAAGAATATGTTTTAAATACGAGGATATTCGTGGGCTTTCTTTCAGATTAAACAATCAAACAGTAGCGGGCTTAAATTTGAAATTATGCGCCAACCTTTAAGTGTTGGCAAACGTCTGACAAGCAGCTTTTAAGCTCTGCAAAGTTGTTGCATAGTTCTAAGAACGCACGCACGATTAAGCGGCGCCAGTGTAAAATTATTTAAATATAAATTTTAGTGATTTTTTGATTTTTTTTTGTTAATTTAAAATTATCAATTTTTAAAAACGGAATTTAATTTAAAATTATGCTAACTAATTAATGCACATTTAAAATAAGTGAACATGTAATGAGAGGTGACACTTTGCCTTCGCCTACAAAAGTATAGTCAGACCTGCACAAATGTTTAAAGAAACGCTCCCAAATTTAAAAGTTCTGATTAGCTATTAATAAATATTTGTTCCCTAATTATTGCAGCATATAAAAATGTATTCAACTGATTAGTTTGAATTTCATTTGGAGCTCAGCTCAGCTCAGCCCGAAAGGAATTCTAATTTCTTGAATGAAACCGAAAGTGCGGCGAGGTTTGTCGTACATTAAACCCTCTTATCAGCTGCCCGAGCGATAACCTGCTAACTCCAAAAAGTACAAACTAGGCAAAAAGTAGAGCAGCGAGCATCGACACAGCACAGCACAGCCACACAGCTTCCTACAGCTATTACGGAACCTATTCAGAGATAACTCTGATAAGACACTGCTCCCACTGCTCGAATATTTACCAGATTTAATGGGAATTATTTTTGGGTATGCTGCAGAGCAATTAAAGTGCGAGTACTTCGACACTGAAGCTGAATCCAACTCTTCTGGGGAGCCGAGCCACACAAGTCCAGCCAGATCTGTGCCCTCTGCCGCTCTGAGCAAACTCACCCACACACAAACACATGCAAAAGAGAGAGCCAGTCGCTCGCTCCGCTCCGCACAGAGTTTCACTCGACTGAGAGTTAGTTGCGTTGGCCGTTGGAGAAGCAGCGATCGGATCGCTCGATCGTCGCATTCCTCGAAAATCCGTCGAGCGTTGCGGTTGTTGCCTGTCTCTCCTGAGCGACGAGTAAGTGTGCTGCTGTTCGGTGATCTCTCCTCGGGTGTGCTCTGTGCTCTGTGCTGTGTGCTGTGTGTGTGTGGAGCCCACACTCCCATTGTGTAGTTGTGGCTGTGGTTGTGTGTGCTGCAGTGTCGTGTGTAGCGGAGGAGTCTCAAGTTTTCTTTGGGTCACTTTATGTATTGTCGTTTTGGGGCACAAGGCAACAAAAAGAAAACCTCCAGATAAAAAAATATATCTTGTATGTTGTGTATGTTGTGTGTGTGTGTCTGACAAAGTGTTTACTCGAAAGGTTCTTGCCTTCAATGTGCTGATATAATTACAATACACGAACTACAATGTGTGGCAGGGGAAAACGGGCAGCAGCAACATAATACGGACGACAACAGTCAGCAGAAAAGTTGAAAAAGGCAGAAAAAGTCCGAACCAAAAAATATATGCAGAAAAAAAAAGTGTGCACACTTCCATTGAAATGTGAATGAAAGAAACAGAAACCCCAAATGGAAATAAACCCCTGCAACAGATTGTCCTATTAATAATATTTTGGAAATATTTTGGAGTTCTGCATCTGAATCTGAGTCCCCCCCAGCAGCAGCAGCAGCAGCAGCAGCAGCATGGCATGTGTTGTGGACTACCTAAAACACCGAAACCGAAAACTGAGAAACGGAAAATGTATCTACCACAAAAATAGGCCGATAAATAAACGAAAATAAAACGCCAGGGCAGACCAGGCTGGGCCAGGCCAGTTGCTGCTGCGCTCTGTGCATCGCTGTGCATCTGTGAGATACGAAACGCGGTTCGGAGTTTGTTAAAAGTATCTTTGAGTGCGTTCGGTAGTGCCTTCTTTTTGAGTGATTTCTGTTTTCTGTTTTTCCCTCTTCTCTACCTGCCGAGTACAGCTCTGTGTGTGTGTCTCTGCGTGTGTGTGTGTGTGTGTGTGTGTAGTGAAGCAGTGGATAAAAACAAACGCTGCAATAAAGATACAAGCGAAAAGGTGCAAACAAAAAGGCAGTTTCAAACGCCGCAGAACACAGCGCAGGGGAGGCCAGGCCAGGGCAGGGCAGGGCAGCGATTCAGACCACGCTCCCTGCAGCCATCGTATATGGAGTCTCTGATGGGTTAGCTTGTAGCGTAGCCCCAAATTCTTATCGCAAAAGGAACTCGTGTTCGTGTTCATAGGCCGCGTATCGGCGCTTGGGCCGCTTGGGCCGCTCCCCGCTCAACAAATGAAATCTGAATGGAGCGGATGTGTTCATTCGGTCTACATATGTACATGCTACATACAGATCTGATCGTACATATTATATTGTGTGCACATACTCGTAATACAATCAGTGTGTGGTGTGTGTTGGCCTCAGCTGAACTCGCCGCCCCTCCGACCGTCCGACCGTCCGCCCATTCGCCCATCCGCCTATCCGCCTGCAAAGGGTTCAGGCTGAAATCGGAGACCAGCCTGACAACAACAGACCCAAGACCCAAGCCCAGAAAAGATTTCACTGTGCTCTCAATTTGGACACGAAGCGGAGCCGTTCTTGTGTGACGTGACCCGCGTGACGTTGCTGATAAGCCACAAAAACATAATACACACATTTCGACTATTTATAATCGTACAAGAAAGTACAAAAAAAAAAACGAATCTAGAACTGTGTTAAAAAAAAAAGGAAAGAAAAAAAAATATTTAAAAAAAGGATTAAGAATGTTTTTTGTGCAAACAATCAAGAAACGAAAATGCAACAAACCGCTGCAGTGGAAATAATATTGGGACAGTCTGCATCCTAGTTTTGGTTAACGAATAAAGCTGATCCCAGCAATTGGAATAGAACGCGACACGAAAGGGAGCGAGCGGCGGAGCGTGAGGGCAAAAGTTCCAGGAATATAATTTAGGAAATTTCAGTTATTATAGAAGGAAGCTCTTCCTCTTCGAGGGCGGCATCAGCTTGCAACGGGGGTGCAAGCCCGCGAGAACTGGAAATTTCTTGTTCATCTTTGCTTTCCTCTCTGTCATCTTACTTGTGGGTTTGGCTCCGCGCTGCCAGAGGATGTTGAGAAAGAGGTGATATCATCGCCAGCTGCCGTACTTGCGGCAAATATTTGCTAATTAGTGTCTCAGCCCAACCGTCTAACCGAATTCATACATAAAGATAAGCTAATGCAGCGGGGGATCTAAGCAGCTCGGCTTAAATGAATCTAGCCTTGGGCGGGGTTTAAGACTGCATCCACAGCGGACTGCAGCAAACATTTGAGCAAGGAAGTCCATTATTAAATGGCACACTGTCACGGGGGACAGGGAGGGGCACACAGTCAGTCCGAATGGAGTGAATGAAATCATCGGATATAATTACATATTTCAAGTTTCCGAATAGCGCAAATAGTGTTTGGAGGGGGAACTGTGGGCACATTCTACGAGGAAGCAAACATACGGCACAGAATTTTTGTTCGGCGGAGCTCATTTCATTTCCAGCCTCGTTCCTATCTTTGAGTTTATTTATGTCTCCCCGCCCCACCCCACACCACCCCGTGCTCTTTCTGTTTGCGGCTGGCAGTTGTTTGAAATTTTCATTTGCAGTTTTTGCTTTTTGCTTTTTTGTTTTTTTGTTTTTGCTTTTGCTTACCCAAGAAATGTACTACTGGAACAGACCGGCCAGACAGACGCGTCTCACGCAAAAGTTTATTTTTCAAGCCATTTGCCTTTGCCCCAACGAATTAATTAAAAAAAAAAAAGAGCAGCCCCGTCATTTGGTCTTCCTCTGTGCGTCTACCACAATATGTGGCACACATGTTTCCATATTACTTAGACGATATTTGACTATAGTTGACTCATTTGGAATCATTTGAATGCATTTTCCAGCACATGACGGAAGTGGCTCATCCACCAACCAGCAAGCAGTAATAGGAGCAAAGACGAGATCCAGTTATGAATTGAGCCGTGGAAGGACAACGAACCCACCCAGAAAAACGCAAACTCGAAATAGTTTTAGCCCAAGTTATACCGTCACCCAACCACCCACCACCTAGTTATAGACTCCAAGCCAAAGGGCTAGGCCAAACCCCAACGAAAAAAAACCCACCATGAAGCGCAGCAGGTGGAGCCTATGTGGCTCCTCCTACACGGCGCGCTTGCTGCTGGCTGCCGGCGTTCTACTCTCCTGCTGTACCCCAGACGCATGGGGCGCCCAGCGCACGCCCATTAACTCTGCCGGACACGAACTGCGCGCCACCACATTTATGCCGGCACTGGAGTGCTACGATCCCTATGGCAGACCGCAGGTAAGTGGCGGAATGCAGAGAACAGAAGAAATTTGTTTGTCCACAAACCAATTGAAATAAATTAGAATATGGCTCGAATTTTGGGGGGGGTTTCAATTCAAATGAAAGCTGCAAACTAATTGAGCAATTAAGTGGGAAAGAATGTTCATTGAGTCTGAGTCTGAGTCATTCATTCATCTCATCCCATCCCATTCATTCTCCTTTTTGTAGAAATGCCTGCCCGAGTTCATCAATGCCGCCTACCAGCTGCAATTCGAATCCACCAACACCTGCGGCGAGCAGAGCGACACACACTTCTGCATACAGAATCCGAATCACAAGAATTGCGAATTTTGCAGGTGAGTTCAGTAGACTAAAGCCCCAGCCGAACCAAACACCATTCATGGCCGTTGTTACTGTCCCTTGCAGATACGAAGATCACAATCCCTCATTTCTGACGGACTTGCACGATCCACAGAATCCATCGTGGTGGCAATCGGAGACCATGTTCGAGGGTATACAGCATCCCAACTATGTGAATCTGACGCTCCACCTACGTGAGTTGATTGCCGCCCCGCAGTAGCCGCAGACAATACAATGCTGGGCATGTTGCCTCAATTATTTCCAGGAAAATCCTATGACATCACCTAT